TAAGAATTTGAATGTTTTATCTAAAACAAAGTAAATAATTTTTAAGTGTCCAAAAACCGAAATCTAGAGTACACATTACTAATCAATGCATCTATTTATGGAACTACTCGGCTTGGAATTGATATCTTTGGCATATACTATTTGATCCAATATTCTGTAATAAGCTCAGGAGGATTATGCCTTCTTTTTAATTGTTTGATTCAAATCATAGTCATATTTAGTCACCAGATGGACTTTCTTCTTCACCTATTCCATCATGTTAGAGAAAGAGTGTAAATTAGCACCTTATAATGACTCATGATAGACTTTTATCATCCACATAGGAAAGCAGTGAAGAGAAGGTTATGCTAACCATTTGATGGTAAAAGAGACATAAACAGATGCTACATACAAGTCTCAGCGCACCAATGGCAATTACCGCCTGTTCTGCTTCATCTATTAGTGCTATGCATGAGAAAGAAGCCAAGAGACAGGAAAACCATGCAGACACTAATTTTACTGCAACAATAGTATTTTAAATTTCTTCATTAAAAATACATAGCATACATAGTTATAATAGTCTCGCAAAAGATAAGCAACTGCAGGACTAGCCCACGCTGAAACCAGATGACTAGCCCAGATTCACAATGGTCTCTCCTCCACTCTCCTCTCCAAGTAGGTGAGAGGGGTTATTTGCCTTATGCAGATTCTTAGGAAAAGAATCAACCCAGAAATGTCTCATTTCTCACTTTTATCGATTCATAATTTGTGGTTAACTCATGGCTTGAGCTTGGCTGGCTGCAGTTATCATTAACGTGATAAACAAAAGGCTTGATCAGGTACAAAACTGTAACAGTGGCTTGACTTTAACTATGGGGGAAAAAACACTCCTCAAACTTGTGTACAGATTTTTAAAAAGCCTGAGAGAAGGGAAATATTCCAATATATAGGTTAACATTAATATTGGGCCTGGATGATAAGATTATGGCTCTATCTCCCTTCCCCCTTCTTCTGCCTACTTTTAAAATATTTTTTTCTTTTAAAGTGAAACAATTAAAGAGTGCTATTGGTATTACTATGAGAATCTTTTTAAGATTTTTACTAGCATAGGGAGAGGTTAATAGGTGTCCTTTTATTTAAAATTTAAACGTTTTGGGGCACCTGGGTGCCTCAGTCGTTAAGCGTCTGCCTTCGGCTCAGGTCGTGATCCCGGGGTCCTGGGATTGAGCCCCGCATCGGGCTCCCTGCTCCGCGGGAGGCCTGCTTCTCCCTCTCCCACTCCCCCTGCTTGTGTTCCCTCTCTCGCTGTGTCTCCGTCAAATAAATAAATAAAATCTTTAAAAAAATAAAAATTAAAATAAAATAATAAAATTTAAATGTTTTATCACTAAAGCAACTACAGAAGATACAGACTTAAAATCTGCACCCAAAGTATGTTTCAAAGTATACATTTCCATAAAAAATATAATTCAGACTGGCCTCCTCTCAGTATAAATTATTGACATGTGGTTGCAAATAAAACTGTATTTTTCGGTTGGCTCAGTTGGTTAAGCATGCAACTCTTGGTTTCAGCTCAGGATTGTGAAATCAAGCCCCACATCAGACTCCATGCTCAGCGGGGAGTCTGCTTGAGATTCTCTCTCTCCTTCTCCCTCTTCCCCTTCCCACGCTCATGCTCCCTCTCTCTCCCTCAAATAAATAAATCTTAAAAATAAACTGTATTTTCTTTCTTTTTTTTTTTTTTAATTTTTATTTATTTGACAGAGAGACAGAGAGAGAAGGAACACAAGCAGAGGGAGAGGGAGAGGGAGAAGCAGGCTTCCCGCTGAGCAGGGAGGCCGACACGGGGCTCGATCCCAGGACCCTGGGATCATGACCTGAGCCGAAGGCAGACGCTTAACGACTGAGCCACCCAGGCGCCCCTAAACTGTATTTTCTACCAAGTAACCAAAGGTTACTTACTGTAAAGTACTGTATTTCAATGGCTGCCTGTCATTTAATAATAATAATAGTAATAATAATAAATATAGATGAGGATAGATTAATTTAACATCAAAGAGAAAAACAATGAAAGAGAAAGCAAAACAGGAAATCACAACAGTCACACACAGGAATATTAAGTTTTCCTTAAATGTTTTGTTAAAAAATGGAAAAGGGTAAAGAGAAAAAAAAGTGTTTTTAAAACTTTCATGATAGTCTCTATGCCCTCAAACATGGGCCAGATTTATTTTATTCTCTCCTAGGGAGAATATGTAGGTAGACTCAGAGATCCAACATTAGCTCTAAATAAAATATAGTACTCCTTTTCTCAATTTATCTTTCAGCTAACTACCCCAGGTCATATAGAACCATGAGTAATGGAATCACTTGGTATGGGCTCTCGTCTATACATTAGTCTTGATACTTAGTTATATGTGACCGGCTGCTTGGGATATGAGAGAAGGGAGGAGGGAAGCGTTCTAGTACAAGAATTCAGGGGAAATAATGGTACTATTATCATGTTCCCAGCTCACAGGAAAAGCTCTAGAGATCCCTTTAGCTTTGAGATCCTCTTTAAATTGAGTATTTGGATGAAGCCAGTGGGCAGAGCCTCCATTTGCTTTATACAAAGGATGAGCTCATAAAACTGAAAGAAGGTAGTGTACAGTTTTACTGGTTATTCTCCTAAATTGTTAGATCTAAAACACTTGACCATAGGGGCACCTGGGTGGCTCAGTCAGTTAAGCATCTGCCTTGGGCTTAGGTCGTGGTCCCAGGGTCCTGGGATCGAGCCCCATGTCAGGCTCTCTGCTCGGTGGGGAGCCTGCTTTTTTCCTCTCCCCGCCTTGCCTCCACTCATGCTCTCTCTCAAATAAATAAAATCTTTTAAAATTATAATTAAAAATAAATAAAATACTTGATCATAAAACTGAAAATGGCCACATTACTAGCAACTTCACCAGCAACTTAAAATCTTTCCACAATAGCACTAGGCACCCGCTGGTAAAAATTATACAGACAGTTCCTTTTCAAACACATTTTTTTTTTTTTAAAGATTTTATTTATTTATTTGACAGAGAGAGACACAGCGAGAGAGGGAACACCAGCAGGGGGAGTGGGGGAGGGAGAAGCAGGCCTCCCGCCAAGCAGGGAACCTGATGTGGGGCTTGATCCCAGGACCCTGAGATCATAACCTGAGTCGAAGGCAGACGCTTAACGACTGAGCCACCCAGGCACCCCTCAAAGAAATATTTCTATGACTAATGAAGAAATATAATTAGGGGAATATACCTTTGAGAATACAGAGGAGTATAAAAGTGAAAGGCAAACTTTTAGATGGATTTTCTCAACTTCTTTCTATATCCCATGCTCATGGAACTACCAAGTCACCTTTTCAGAGAAGACGTGGTTATTTACATTTGTACTAGTTATTATTCATGATACATTTTTGAGGACCAACAAAACTATAGAATTTTAGGTAGTAATCAGTCAAAAATACTCATGTTTTCAAGCTATATCTGACATAATACTTAAAGATCTATAAAACATCACGATTTTCACACAGGCTTACAGATAGATGGACTTAGGTGGAAAGAACAGATCTAAAGTTAGAGATATCAACCGGTCATGTGACATAAATATGCCACCTAGGCTGTCTATCAAGGATTATCACTGACATGGGTGGTCATGGAACACAAGAGGAGCGTAACTCATCTCTGGGAACTAGGGCCACCAGCAAGGTGCATATTAAGACACTTGCTACTAGGCAAAAAGGAAAGGGAAATATAAAGAAACAATGTTCAGGTTACCACTGTTCCATCAGATGATCATGGGAAAATATCCTATGACAGGAAGTACCAACAGGAAATAAACTTAAAGGATAACACAGGATCGTGTGTGTGTGTGTGTGTGTGTGTGTGTGTGTGTGTGTGTGAGAAATCTTGAAAACCGTTATTAAAACTGATCTTAAGTACCATTAGAGAACTATGGTACTACAGGGTTCTTCATGAGGCTCACTGTGACTTTAAAATGACAGTATTAGGGGCGCCTGGGTGGCTCAGTCAGTTAAGCATCTGCCTTCAGCTCAGGTCATGATCCCAGGGTCCTGGGACTGAGCCCCACATCGGGCCCCCTGCTCGACAGGGAATCTGCTTCTCCCTCTGCCTGTTTGCTCCATCTGTTTATACTCACTCTCTCTTTCCTCTCTCACTCTCTCGAGTCTCTCTCCCTCTCTGTCAAATAAATAAATAAAATCTCTTTAAAAATAAATGAGAGTATTAAGCAAACAAAACCACAAATATATATATATTTTTAAAGATTTTATTTATTTATTTGACAGAGAGATACACAGTGAGAGAAGGAACACAAGCAGGGGGAGCGGGAGAGGGAGAAGCAGGCTCCCCGTGGAGCAGGGAGCCCGACGTGGGGCTCGATCCCAGGACCCTGGGACCATGACCTGAGACGAAGGCAGACGCTTAACGACTGAGCCACCCAGGCGCCCCAAAACCACAAATATTTTAAAAATAATAATAATAAATAAAAATGGAGAGTATTAAAGCACCATTTTTCATGTAGGGCAGAGCTTATGGTTCACACTAACCAGAGGTATCATTTTGATCAGAAGTTGCAACTATAGGGGCGCCTGGGTGGCTCAGTTGGTTAGGCGTCTGCCTTTGGCTCAGGTCATGATCCCAGGGTCTTGGGATGGAGCCCCGCATCGGGATCCCTGCTCAGCAGGGAGTCTGCTTCTCTCTCTCCCTCTGCCCCACCCCCCTTTGTGCTTTCTCTCGCACTCTCTCTTAAACAAAACCTTAAAAAAAAAAAAGTTGTAACTATAACTCACTACCTGTACATACTTTCAGATCTCTCACTGAATCCTTGCCGTAAGTCATAAAAGTCATAAATATTTTATTATAAAGTAATCTAAAAGAAAGATACATTGTATACAGTAAGTAAAATTACTCATGTTTTAAATAGCAGGGGCTTTTAAATGTCTCTGAAATACCCATTTTCAGATTTTTAAGAACAAGAGCTCAATGATGTTATGGATAGTTTAATTTTTATTACACATTTGAACATGAACAAAAACACATGAGAAGACTCACCCTCAAATGTAAACATTCTATGTGCATTTGCCCCTAATAATAAACCAGTTATGTTCAAAATCGGAGACCTAGGGTTTGGAAAAATAAAGAGTAGAACAACATTTAAAAATTGCTACATAGTAAATACATTCTTGGAATTTCTTTATTAAGTATCAGAATTTCCACCTGGTTTTCCATATCTACACTAATTTCTGCTATATACCACATTCAAACTCTATCTCCACCCACAGGCAGCAACTACAGCTCTAATTTGCACCGAGTTCAGTCATCCCTCTGGACCTTAACAAGGCTCCATCATTTGGTCTGTCTTCATCACTGCTTTTATCAAACAGCAAAGGTCTATCAGGGATGGACTTGGCTGACACACTGCCATCTATTTCAGGCCACAGGATCCCATCAGGACAGAAGACTTGCCTCTCCTGTGGACCCAATTTCTAGCTGTCTATCATGACAGTAATGCTTTCATGAACTTTCTTTTAAGGTTGGTCCCGACAGCATCTTACCACAGCTCACCTGATCCAGTGTTTAGTCTTCTCTGACCATAGATTTCATATTGAGCATCTGGAAAACCAATAAGGTGGTGTCTCATTAACCTAGAATTCTGAGGTCTAAATTTCACAGGATCAAGGACTATGTGATAACCTATCTAGACAATAAAAGGAAGAACACTGTAATATTAATATAACTGGCAATCATTGCTTCATAGGATCAAAGCTGCCCTCAGATTTGGAGGCTGAATGGAGCTCGAATGTTTTAGTTGATACTAAGTGACTCAGAAATACATAGCTTTCTTTCTTTAAAGATGGTGCCACAGAAATGCCCCTCTCAGTCTCCTGATTTGTATTCTAAATATGGTAAAATCCTCCTTCATTTCAATACTGACCTAATTTTTTTCAACTGAGCCTATTTTTGAGTTTAAGTCTGTTCTTGCCTTTGCAGAAATGGGAGTTTCTTTCAGCCAAAGAGAGTATCAAGAACTGGGGGGGAAAACCAACAATAACAGCAAAATTATTCATTTTCTATTTTCTTTTTTTAAAAAAAAAGTTCTCCCCTGAGTTTATCTGTAAAAAGCCAATGAGTAAAAATTCTTCATAAAACTGACTGAATTAAGAGATGAGAATGGAATATAAAATAGTTTTTTATAAACATAAAAGATAGTCAACCTCAAATAAAGTAGTAGTAATAGCAGATTCAACCCCATTGTGTGTGCACTTCCAGGAAAGTTTCATGCATTCCATTCTAAGCTCCTAGCCCTAGGCAAACACAGAATCATAGGCGGAAATATGCCACGGTTAGCACTAGAAGCAGCATCACAGAATAAAGCAAAAAATGGTTCAGTAAATGAATCTATAACATAAAAATGTGCTGGTGATGAATCTGTAATAAAGTAACATAAGTAAGGTTTACAGTATTTTTTTACCAGGAATTCAATTGTAAACATTTGCATTAAACTACTGCCACCCCCAATCATAACTAACCACACAAACAAAAATCATCTTTTATGACTATAAAATCATGAAGAATTTGTACTGCATGGCTCTTTGTTTTGGTGGTTTTCAGAGTAAGATATGAGCTGCATTAAGTAGCTTCGCTGATTTCTCCATCTTGAGTAACTGCCAGTTCTGGAACTTCATTCATCCTCAGAACCTCTGCATAGAGCAAATAATTATGTAGGCTTCTGGGAAGTGGCAACTGACAGATAAAACTGTCAGACCGTAGGTGTTCTGGTTTTACACTGGACCGAATTTCCAAACGACAAAGGTGGGTGAGGGACGGAACAGAGGCTGGAGAAACAAAAAAAGGAAAGATGAAAAAATTTTTTAATTTTCTTTTTTAAATTTTTCCAATTCTTTGGAGAAAGCATATGTTACTTAGATTACTTTTGAAGATTTGTTGGGTGGGGATGGCCACAACAAACTTTATTTATTCCTTTTATTCTTTTTATAGCCTTCACCTGGCTCCTCTCTCTCCAGTTCCTGGCTACACATTGAAAGTCGTTTCAGGGCCATATAAAACTAAATGTTCACATTCTAAAGATGTGGCAATACCAGTTGGTACTTAAGAAATGGGTGAACTTGGGTGCCTGGTGGCTCAGTCGTTAAGCGTCTGCCTTCGTCTCAGGTCATGATCCCAGGGTCCTGGGATCGAGCCCTGCATCGGGCTCCCTGCTCCGTGGGGAGCCTGCTTCTCCCTCTGCCTCTGCCCCTGATCGTGCTCTCTCGCTGTCTCTCAAATAAATAAATAAAATTAAAAAAAAAAAAGAAGCTAATGTCCACAGAAACTGAGGGTATTAAAAACGACTATTGGTTTTATGTGTGAATCAAATCTAAAGTCTTTTATTAATCTAAGAAATCTTTTATAAATCCTCAAGAATTATAACAATGATTAACAGACCAGGATCAGAGCAGCAGCGGCAAGTACTACCATCGGGAGCCCAGCTGGTATCAGACCAACTGGTCTGACTCCAAGGCCAGGGTTCTGTAAACTAATAGCCTGTAGAACCTGCCATTCCAATTCTCTAACAACTTCAACACCTTCCAAACCACCAAAGTTAATCCATCCTGTAACATTTTAAAGATTTTATTTATTTATTTGACAGAGAGAGAGACACAGCGAGAGAGGGAACACAAGCAGGGGGAGTGGGAGAGGGAGAAGCTGGCTTCCTGTGGAGCAGGGAGCCCGATGCGGGCTCAATTCCAGGACCCTGGGACCATGACCTGAGCCAAAGGCAGATGCCCAACGACTGAGCCACCCAGACGCCCCTAGCTAGAGGATTCTTAATGCCTCACCAGCTTCTCTGACTTGACAGATCACCGACTTACAAACTCCTCAGGCTGAGGACAGCTCCTCTGGCTGCCCCACAGCCTCCTGCAGTGCCAACAAGCCTTTCCAGGCCATCTGACTACACCACTGTAGCACTATCTTCAAAGCTAAAGAAACCATTTATTTGTTTATATGTATTTGTTTGTATATGTAATATGTATGTGGAAATTTAATCATTTGTGATCAAGCCCTCCTTGACCAGTTACACATTTGCTATGAGAAGTTTAAGTAACTTGCCCATGGTTGAACTGTACATCAACAAAATAGCTGATATTAGATCCAAGTGATTTGACTCCAAGTCTAGGGTTCCTTAAAGTGTGAAAAGCCCAAAGTAATTCTCTAACATCTTCTAAACCACTGAAACTATTCTAAGTTTCAGAAGATCTTCCCATTTCACAATACAAAAAAAAAAAAAAAAGGAGTATAGTTACTCTAGACATTGGTTACAATTTTAATTGTACCACTTTCATTTTTCTCCTGTAAGCACAATAGATCAATGGCATCATGAACAGTTAGAGGGAAAAACTATATTCACTTGAACTGAAGGGAGTCTTTTATCTGCAGATTATTAACATAGACAATAATATACACCTCAGTGACATCTTAGTTTAATATGCCATTGAATACTAAGGGAACTTTATAATCATATATGCAATATTTCAAAACTCACAAAATTCCTATGAAAGTTTTAGTGATGCATAGTATTTCCAGATGTGTTACCACTAGACTGAGAGAAGATCAAGCCATGCCTTAAATTTATAATACGAAATAGCCCATAAACTGTACATATGTAAAAATATACTTTCATTAACACCAGATTTTAATTTGTTAAATACGTCTCTGTCTTCTTGGATTATGGCACCGATCATAGCCTAGAAAATGATGTCTGAAACCATGCTATACTTTTTTTTTCATTTCTTAAATTTTATTATGTCACCATACAGTATATCATTAGTTTTTGATGTAGTGATCCATGATTCACTGTTTGCGTATAACACCCAGTGCTCCATGCAATACGTGCCCTCCTTAATCCCTCCTTAATCCCCATCACCAGGCTCATCCATCCCCCATCCCCCACCCCTCTGAAACCCTCAGTTTGTTTCCCATAGTCCATAGTCTCTCACGGTTCGTCTCCCCCTCTGATTCCCAGCCCCTTCATTTTTTCTTTCCTTCTCCTAATGTCCTCCATGCTATTCCTTATGTTCCACATATAAGTGAAACCACATGATAATTGTCTTTCTCTGCTTCACTTATTTCACTTAGCATAATCCCCTCCAGTTCCATCCATGTAGATGCAAATGGTGGGTATTCATCCTTTCTGATGGCTGAGTAATATTCCATTCTATATATGGACCACATCTTCTTTATCCATTCGTCTGTTGATGGGCATCTCGGCTCCTTCCACGGTTTGGCTATTGTGGACATTGCTGCTATGAACACTGGGGTCGTGCTATACTTTTTTTTGTTACTTTTTTTATTATGTTAATCACCATACATTACATCATTAGTTTTTGATGTAGTGTTCCATGATTCATTGTTTGCGTATAACACCCAGTGCTCCATGCAGAATGTGCCCTCTTTAATACCCATCACCAGGCTAACCCATCCCCCCACCCCCTCCCCTCCAGAACCCTCTGTTTTTCAGAGTCCATCGTCTCTCATGGTTCGTCTCCCCCTCCGATTTCCCCCCCTTCATTCTTCCCCTCCTGCTATCTTCTTTTTTTTTTTTCTTAACATATATTGCATTATTTGTTTCAGAGGTACAAATCACTGATTCAACAGTCTTGCACAATTCACAGCGCTCTGACCCAATCATATTCAATTTAGTATATTAAACCTAGTTTATCTATAGATCCATTAGCAGACAAACAACCTTTAACTTTTCATTCCTATACAGACTTCTTCAATTTTGTTCTTTTTGTTGTTGTGTACCGAAAGAACAATCAAAATAGAAGGCTACATGTTATACAAAGTTTTATTAAGATGAAAAATGATAAACTAAATCCCACAATTCTTAATTCATTATGCTTATTAATGCCAACTTTACTATAGCACAGAACTACATGTACATCATACATACCCATGATCTACATTTTCCACAACCAATCATCTCTAGTCTGCCCTTCTGCCAATATTGAAATGATGTATCTGCCTGCACTATATTTCTATGGTTCTTCTGCATGGCTTTCCACATCAAATGTATTCATTTGACTTCTGGGCCATCTAGGACAATTTATATTTCCATCATTAATATACTGTCTTTCTGGTTGGCTTCCATCCTTTGTTCCCAGTCTTTCTTAGTTCACTAGTACAGTCTCTCTCTCTCTCTCTGTCTCTCACTGATTACAACCAAAAACTCTAGACAACATACAAAAAGCAATTACCTAAGGGTTCTGAAAAATAAATAACAGACAGATTAGGGCAGGAAATCAAAACATGGAGAATGACCAGTAGAACAGCAATAAATAAAATGAATGGAAAGAGCACCATACAGTAAAAAGACCTGTCTGGAGTTCAGAAGTCACTATTAACAAGTTGTATGACCTTGGACAAGTCATTTAAATACTCTGACCTTGAGTTCTTCCTCTGTAACATGGGTATAATGCTTCATCTATAAAATGGACATGATGACACCTCTCTGCATTGAAAGGTTGTTGATGAGGTTCAAGTTAGAACACATTTGCAAAAGCATTTTATAAACTATAAAATAACATACAAATCCTAGACACCATCTAATCTAGTGATCTCCAAATGTTTTGACTGCACACCCAATGAGGGAAAAGACTTTCAGTAAATAACCCCAATGTGTAGATACTTAATATGTATATACTATTAAATTAACATTATCTGTACTATAAAATACATAAAATTAAAAGAATATGCTAAAATAAGATACTTTTTAAAAATATTTATTATTTTACTTTTACTAAAAATATTAATAATATTTTAACAAGAGCAAGGTGATTGACTAAGCTTTATAAATTTAATTCTTAGTGATTTGGCAATTCCAAGATATGGTTCTAGGTCCAGTTTATTTCGATACTTGGTTAAAAGGGCTGATTAGCTAAAAAAATATCTTACAAAAGGATGGGGACCAAATGGGAGGAATACACTGTAGCTTAGTTGAACTAATCAGGATACTATCCGATCCCATCTACCAATTATACAAAAGTTTTTATCAAAATTTATCCAGTAAATTTCCATTTTTTCTGTTATCAGTTTATAAGCTACTTAGAAAGTTTGGCTTCTCTTAAGCAGTCGATCCCATTTACAATTGCACCCAAATCATAAGATACCTAGGAATAAATCTAACCAAAGAAGCAAAGGATCTGTACTCAGAAAACTATAGAATACTCATGAAAGAAATTGAGGAAGACACAAAGAAATGGAAAAACATTCCATGCTCATGGACTGGAAGAAAAAATATTGTGAAAATGTCTATGCTACCTAGAGCAATCTACACATTTAATGCAATCCCTATCAAAATACCATCAACTTTTTTCAAAGAAATGGAACAAATAATCCTAAAATTTGTATGGAACCAGAAAAGACCGCGAATAGCCAGAGGAATGTTGAAAAAGAAAAGCAAAGCTGGTGGCATCACAATTCCGGACTTCCAGCTCTATTACAAAGCTGTCATCATCAAGACAGTATGGTACTGGCACAGAAACAGACACACACATCAATGGAACAGAATAGAGAGCCCAGAAATGGACCCTCAAGTTTATGGTCAACTAATCTTCGACAAAGCAGGAAAGAATGTCCAATGGAAAAAAGACAGTCTCTTCAACAAATGGTGTTGGGAAAATTGGACAGCCACATGCAGAAGAATGAAACTGGACCATTTCCTTGCACCACATACAAAAATAGACTCAAAATGGATGAAAGACCTAAATGTGAGACAGGAATCCATCAAAACCCTTGAGGAGAACAGAGGCAGCAACCTCTTCCATCTCAGCCA